TTTTATATGAACTATTATTATTTCATGTTCAATGTTTGCCGGATGTTTTTATGTTATGTTATCACTTTGCTTTTATTCCTTTACTTTTTAACGGTGCCTTTTAATTGAAGAAATGAATATGTATTTTGTTAATATGTGGACCCATTATTTTCTTCCTTTTACCGTACTTCCCTCCGAGCAGTTGAAATTGAAATTCCAGTCAATGCCGAAATGGAAGGATATGGGTTGCAAATTTGCAATTGCATCGCCTGCGAGGGGCTGAGTGATGTCGGATCTGGTCGGGACGGCCGACGGATGACACCACTGTCCTTTGCGCTCTGAGCTCCCACTCTCTTGACATTGCCGACTGAAGTCTTTTTCTCGTCCTTGGATGGTCTGATTGACTGATCCGAATGAACGCAGAGTCAAGATCCGACCTGACCTGTCCTTGAGTTGCTGGTTTTTAACGAGATTAGGGTAGTGGCCGTCGGCACTTATAAAGGGTATCTGTCAGTTTATTCTTTGTCAGGTGATCTGATTCATATAAAGGATAAGGAGCTGTCATTTTTTTTTTTTTTGTGTTTTCATTTTTCATTTTGGATTTTAAATTCTTATATTATTCTGTGATTGAAATTACTGTATAGTGTTGTGACAATGATTTTTTCATATTATCACAAACAGTTGAATAGGAGTTGTCCTGTTTTATCTAACTGTATATGTTTTCAGTTTGGTATATGATTCTTTATCACAAAAGTTATGTTAATATGTGATAATTTTTTTGAAAAAATTGTGTGTATATGTAAAATTACTATAAAATATAAAAAAAATTAATTAAAAGTAAATGCAATTTTGAATGCAGGCTTAGCGGGTGAGTAAGTGTTGGATAAATTGATGATTTTTGCTTAATTACTTAATTGGATGGTATGTTGTGTTTTGTGTAAACTGAAAAATCAGATTAATTTTTTTTTGCTTGCTAAGATTGAAATAAAATGTTTGTTCCTAATGAAATCAGAATCTCTGAAACAAAATATGTACATTAGCATTGACATATTGTACGTTTCCGAGTTGCATATATTGAAGGAAGGTATGAATGAGCTTATATATCATAGGCTCTTATTCATAAACCTTTTTTTAAACTCTGAATTGTATAAACTGCATTAATATATATTTTTGCTTTGTGAGGGTATATTCTACATGCATCCTACAATTACGAGTCCATGAAGGATGGAACTAAAGATGACCCTAAGACACATCCTCAGAGGAGGTTTCTCTTATCATGGCTGAAGTACTTGCTTGTTCTGTTGACTCTGATCTTCAGTTACCTAATTTGCTGCCAAAGCCAAAGAGTTATTGTTGAAATGTGAAAAATGTGTTCACCTGCTGTCATTAATTTAGTATTATCTTGGTGAAAATTTTCTTTTCATCCCTTCTGGTGATGTAGAGTTTGTTTCAACAACGTGAGTCTCAAGAAACTCATCTCATTTTTGGGACCAGAAACCCAACAAGAGAGGCTCAAGACAATCTGGAAAATTATTATGGGAGATTTCCATATTAGTTATGGAATGTTAACAAGGATGGATCATGTATTGATGCAGCAATCACTGGCATAAATGCCTCCTCCATCGACGTAACTCCTGGTGATTCCTTATGCAACTTGCTTTAATTAGTTCACAAATGCTTTGTATAGGAGTTCTTCTGAGTAGCTATTGGCTATTCATGCTTTCTAGAATACAGTTTAAACATATAAAAGATTTCTTTTCCTTGTTTCATTTTGCATTTCTTCCAACTCATTTGTGGTTCATTTCTGGTAATGCTGCTTCCTCTTTGTCAACTAATGAATAATGGGAAGTCGTTTCTGAAGTTATTCTATTATTTGAATCCAACTTGCTTTTATTGTTGGGCAGTCAAACATTGACAGTCACTATTGCAGATGATGTAGTAATCTCAGCTTTCAGCCTTTTAAGTCAGTTCACAATATGATGTGCAGCTCATTTCATAATAGATTGTGACAAATCTTGATTCTTTTGCAGATCTCCCGTTCTCATTTAGTCATTTTCTTTTATGGTGGTGTCTCATTGACTATTTTTTTATCGGCGAAGATCTCATTAACTTTTTCTTTCTCATTTTGCTTTGTGCATTCACCAACACTTCTGTTACTCTGGGCCTGCAGTAACTATAGAGACTCTTTATTGTTAAGAGATTCACGAGTTAAAGTGTAATGGAAATTGGGAAAGTAGTTAATGCAGGCCTTACATGTTTCTGTTCTATTCACACGTCCAAGGTAATATTGTGTGATATAGTGTGTTGCTGTCTATTCATCTTGCATGTTATATATTTCTTTTTGAAATTTATTTGCCATTTAACCAATATGGGATTAGCACTCTTCTTTTAGTCATCTTAAATTTTATTTGTTCTTTTTGAAAGCCTGTTGAGTGTTTTATTGATTTCATCTCCTTTGACTTTTTTGAAGGATCACTGCAGAACTGGGAAAAACTCACCTTATCGCTGAGTGGTGTATAGATTGGTTGCCATAAACAGTTTACCTGGTTGTATATTGCTTTTAGACACTCAGGCACTTTTGGTGCTACTGCAGAAGGTTTGTTCAGTCCGAATCATTTTGAATATCTTTAAAAGATGAAGCTCTCTTAACTGAACAATGGATTTCACTTATTGTTTCAGAGATATCAAGACACCAGCTGCTTGTTCTTGGGATGCTTGTCAATTGTCCGGTTGAAGTTCCTCTTGCTTTGAATCAACAAAAGAGTCTCTATTGCCTGGGTCTAGCTATTCATGCGCTTCAGAAAGGAATTCTTGAGGTATGCTTAAAACTTTAAGATATGTTTAGGTTGGAGAAAGAAGTCTGAGATTGAAATCAATTTTCTCTTAAACATAATATGAAAATCTGTCACCTATTGAATTTATTGACTGAATTTTAGTGTGGAAATGGGGGCTCTGCTGGTATACCTACTGAGTCCTTCTATAGATTACTATTACTAGTTCTTGTATAAACCTGCTGTCTTTCCATAATGCTGTATCTTCTTAGGCCAACAAACATAATCTATTTCCCCTATCAGGGGATACTTTGAACATTTTGTTTTGATATTGTAAATAAACATGACTGATTTTTCCTATATGGTTGCAACTTTTGGCCTTGTGGGAGAATATAGGTGCTATTTCTATGCCTTTGATTTTAGTCAGGGTTGAGTAAACCATGTCTGTGATTTGCTACGCTGCATATGTTTGATGCATTATCCTTTATATAAAAGTCAAAACCAATATTCTTCACTGCAGAATACGTAAACCTTTTTTTGAACACATCAAATGCAGGTTTGGAAGATGAGAACCAGACCGATTGGCAGATGTGATTACATTGTTCTCTCTCCAATAAGAGAAATTAAGAGAGTTTTATTAATCAAATAATTTTTTCTTTCCATCCCATCTCTGATGATGTAGTCTGCTTAATGGTGGTTTATTGGATTGTGTGTTGAAGCAGCAGTCACTACTGGCATAATGCTTCTCCGATCCATTGGGGAATTCCGAGTGATTCCTCAAGCCAAATCTTTAATTTGTATCCATTGGGTATAGACGTTCACATGGTCGAATCAATTTCTCTTAAATAGAATGCCTTGTATTTTCTTTTTCTTTTTCTTTTTTTTTTAATCTAAATACTCAATTTTTTTTTTCTTAAGAAAATCTATTGCTGACTGGACCGTGTCTTTTTACTATTCACCGTGCTAAGGGCAGCATATTACTACGACCTACAAACTGATGATTTCAATTCACAATGAACTTGTGGGCCACGTTCCACATTCCTCTAGGGACCATGTTTCATACTTTTTCAAATCATTTTTACATTAATTGGAAACTTGGGACTGACTGGAATTTTAGTGACAAAGAACTGCAGCAGTTACCAAGAAGCAGAACTGCAGAAGCACCTCTATTAAAATTTGATGAAAAAGATGATTGAGCAATAATATTTGATTGGTTTGATTGAATTCAAAAAACTGGCTCCAGCTTTAATGTATATAATATTAATTTGAATACAAAGTTCATTGTTTGATTTCTTTTGAACTGCATCAGTGAGGTTATTAGAGCAACTTCAATAGGATATATTCCCTTTCATGGGAGAGTTCTTGATTAAGAGACTCTTCATTGTAATGGTTCTTTTTTAAAAAAATAATAATAATAACAAGAAATCGACTCTCCTACAAGAGCCGATCTCCAATCTGTTTTTTTAGCCCTTTTTCTTTTTGAAATTCAAAGTTAAAATGC